CCCCCCCGGGGAACCCGCCAGCGTCCGTTCGGGTGTCGTGACGTTGTGCACGCACAGCACCGCGCGGCGTGGTGGGGACCCGGGGAGGAGCAGGGATTCCCAGGGAGGGTCCTTAGCGTCTCCGCTCCCACGCGTGCCTTTCTGGAAGGCACCCCGATCCGCCCGGGGGCTGAGGGCCGCTGTCCCTCACCAGCTGCTCGTGGTCAGGGTTTCATTCTTTCCTTCACCTTCCTCCTCAGTAGCAACGTCTCACGACGCCCTCTCCCCCGCCCTAGGTGTTGCAGGGCAGCGTGTTTAACCGGGTCCCTCCCGGCCGGAGACGGGGTGCTCTGGGGGAGGGCCGGGCTCAGCTGCGGGTGTTGGGACATGAGGGGAGGGTGTCAGGCGGGGACACAGGCTCCTCCGGTGCCGTGGAGGTGCTGTGCTGTGTTCTCCGAATGTCTGTGATGGAATTAAGGTGAGGGCCAGTGTTTCTCCGTGGTTGTTACTGAGAGGAAATGGGCCGAGGCCTGTGGCTGGGCCGCCGCCCGGGGGGGGCGGGACGCTGGGTGGCACAGGCCTGGGACCCACAAGCTGGGGCCTGGGCTGCCAGCGGGGGCGGCCGTGGAGGAGCCGGAGATGCCGGGGCGGCCGTTGCCGCCGAGGAGAGGGAGCCAGGGGTTTGTGGCCGGCTGGGCTGGTCGCCCCCTGAGCGTTCCTGCAGCAGCACCCGGCTCCGACCTTCGCTGAGGGTGCCACCGTGTGGACAGCGGCGGCCCTGCAGCCACGCCGCCTGCCCTTCAGGCTCGGCCTCCCGGCCTCCCGGGCCAGGCCAGCGTCTGTGCTGAGGACATAACTGGTCCCTCCACATCCAGTGGGTACGGTGTCATCCAGTCACAGAGCAGGGCAGTGCGGGCGCTCTCTGTGTCCCCGGTCCCGCTTCCTGCAGAGCCCTCCCAGGACCGTGACCAGAGCATGTCCTCTCCCCACAGTGTTCCCAACTCCTGCCCGGCCAGCCCACGGGGGGCCGGTGCCTCCAGCTACCGATTCGTCCAGAACGTGACCTCGGACCTGCAGCTGGCCGCGGAGTTCGCCGCCAAGGCCGCCTCGGAGCAGCAGGCAGATGCGTCCGGAGGAGACAGCCCCAAGGTCTCCCACGCAGCCCGCCCCTCCCGCCCACCTCCTGCGCGTGCTCCTCCTCCCCGCATCCCCGCCTCCCGTCAGAGTTTCACTCAGTGTCTGAGAGGAGGAGGAGGTTTTGCCTTACAACTCTGTCTTGGTTCTTGCCCCCCGAGGACTTTTAAAATCAGCGGTGAGGGGAGGAGTGAGGTGTCAGCAATCCTGACGAGACCCTCCCTGCGGGGCCCAGGGCGCTTCCTGTGGGAGGACCACGTGGCGGGCGTGCAGGGGCCGGGGCTGGGTGAAGGAGACACGCTGCTGACCTGTCCCGC